TGCAGTTCAATGTAGATAAATGCAAGGTTCTGAAGCTTGGGAGTGCCCATAACCCTAGTACTTATAAGTTAAATGATGTAGAACTTAGCCATACAGATTGTGAAAAGGACTTGGGGGCTATGGTGAGCAGCAACCTTAAACCAAGACAGCAATGCCTAAGCGTACGTAATAAGGCAAATAGATTACTGGGATTTATATCAAGAAGTGTAAGCAACAGAAGTCCAGAGGTCATACTGCAGCTTTATACATCATTAGTAAGGCCTCACCTAGATTATGCAGCTCAGTCTCTGGTCTCCATATTACAAAATGGACATAAATTCGTTAGAAAACATTCAGCGTAGGATGACTAAATTAATACATAGCATTAGAAATCTTCCTTATGAAGAAAGATTGAAGACTCTTAAGTTACATTCACTTGTTAGACGAAGAATGAGGGGAGACCTGATCGAAGTGTATAAGTGGAAGATAGGTATTAATAAAGGGGATATTAATAAGGCCTTGAGGATGTCTCTCCAAGAGAGAACCCGCAGTAATGGATTTAAATTAGATAAGTTTAGATTTAGAAAGGACATAGGAAAGTATTGGTTTGGAAATAGGGTAGTTGATGAGTGGAACAGTCTACCTAGTTGGGTTATTGAGGCTGGGACTTTGGGTAGTTTCAAATCTAGGTTGGATAAGTACATGAGTGGGAGGGGTTGGATTTGAGTGGGACTTTCACATCAGAGCTTATTTCTTGGGTGGCATTGAAAATTGGGTTGGGCAAATGTTTTGTTAGTGGGATGAATTGTAAAGGACCTGCCTAGTATGGGCCAGCAGGCCTCCTGCAGTGTTCCTCCTTTCTTATGTTCGACAGGCCCTCTCCGAAACTCGTTCTCAGGGTCGGCCAAATTCAAAAAAAAAAAAAAAAAAAAAATTTTCTTATGAAAAAATAGAGTTTTTTTTCTAAATATTATAGGCTAAACAAACAAATTTTACTGTCAATACTTACCGAGATATGGAGGAGTGAAGTTTGCCAAAATTGAACAACATCTGGTAACATCGCCGACTGCCGTCACCCGGTATTTTTCTATTTACTTTTTTATGTACTATTTTCAATTATTTTTTAATTTTTCTTTTTCTGAGTAACTTTTATGGCCTCTGAGCCAAATGATCAGTATTTTGTAAGTTATTCTTTTTCAATACTACACAATAAGGGCGTAAACACTGTTGTCATTATTTTGTTTATAGAAAATATTTACACAAACAAACGATATGAAATGTTGCTTATTATATTTTTCTATATTTTATATACACATATACAGTCACAGGGAAGTTTCTAGGAAGTTCTGCAGCCTGTGGAAGTTTTGAAACTGGTGTCGATGCACAGTTGGTGTTTTACATTCCTCACACATAAAACGAGTGTCTCTGCGTTTGTTGTGGCATTTTTTTGTATGTGCACAGACTAACACTCTTTGAGCCTTTTTGCGTTGAAAGCAAGTAGGCAGGCAGTTTTACCAGGAAGTGATCACCATGTTTCAGACGAGCAGGTAGTTGTTGATAATCTGGTGGGGCGGTCAATTGCAGGTGCTGTTCCTTGGTTACTTGAATACTATTTGTTCTGATGACAGACAAACAGAATTTTGCTGTACTGTGTTTGTTCTACTAGTCCTCTCATACTTACAATATATTATAAGCATTGAGCATGGAAATGTCCAGAAGATGGAAAAACAGTTTGATGTACCACTTATAACTCTTGCGAACACAATCAGCAAACCCAATCTGCATGTCACCATACCCCCGGCCGGGATTGAACCGCGGTCATAGAGTCTCAAAACTCCAGCCCGTCGCGCTAGCCACAGACCAGCTAGCCACAATAAGATTCATCCAACTAGGTTATAATTTCTACAACACATAGGAAAGTTGCACAGCATCTCTGTGACCACAAATGCAAGTTTTTACAGACGAATCTCCAGCTAGCGTGGTCGTGACGAACTCTAGCTCAAGTCCCTTCACTGCCGTCAACATGACTTAAGAAATCGTAATGACACGATTGCAAATAAACCATATATCCCCCGGCCGGATTGAACCCGCGGTTCTACGAGTCTCAAAACTCAGCCCGTCGTTCACAGAGGTGCCTGTGCTAACTTTCCTATGTTGTAGAAATATACCTAGTTGGATGAATCTTATTGTGGCTGCTGGTCTTAGTGGCTAGGCGACAGGCTGGAGTTTGAGACTCTATGACCGCGGGTTTCAATCCCCTCGGGTATGGTTTATTTGCAATCGTGTCATTATCGAATTTCTTAAGTTCATGTCACAATTTCCACTGAACGCATGTTGAAGGTGTAATCAATCACAGCTGCAGGTTTTAGAATGGTGTCATTGCTTCTCTCCTGCCAGCTGTTCTGCCATTTCTTAGGGTGAACTGATGACAACAGTGTGACACTCGTTTGTCATGCCACCGAAATGCCATGATGTCATTGGCAGCAAACGCCTGCACCTCACCTCTACGAGTGCCAGCGTCAAACCTGGGCATATGTTTCCGATTTGCACGCACTGTGCCACACACATCTGTCATGTTCACTCGCAAAAAATCACTGAGTGAGGGGCTTGTGTACCAGTTATCTGTAAATAATATATGCCCCTTACCAAGGTATGGTTCTATCATTGTTCTAACCACATCACCTGAGATGCCCAATAACTTCCTGGTATTTTGCAATGTATAACTTCCAGTGTACACAATAATATCCAATACCAGGCCACTGTAACAATCACAAAGCACAAACAACTTTATACCAAAGCGTTTCCTCTTGCTTGGTATGTACTGCTTGAAAGAGAGTCTTCCTTTGAACAGAATCAAAGACTCGTCAATTACAAGCTTCCTGAAGGGATAAAAATGCGTACTGAATTTCTCTTTCAGATACACAAACACATTCCTAATCTTATATAACCTGTCAGTTCTGTCAGGCCTGGTTTTGTCTGAGAAATGAAGCATACGTAACATTAGCACAAATCGATTCACTGGCATTATATCACTGAAACCTGGGGTTGCAATCAGGCGGTCTGTTGACCAGTATGATTTCACTTTGTGCTTATACACATGTGGCATAAGCATTATTGTGGCAAAGAAAAAATACATCTCAGCCACAGTTGCCTCCTTCCACTGGTGTAGACGTGATTTTGGTGAAAGTAATGTGTTTGCCATGGTGTACTCGTAGTATGTGTTGCTTTCCATGACAATACTTTCCATCAGTGGTTCGTCAAAGAATAACTCGAAACATTCCAGTTCAGTGGCATTGTTCCCAAGTGTACAAGATGGCCGTATTCCACTTTGGCTGTCATCAAACTGGTGGGCATTTGGAACAAAACTGACAGCTTCCTGCCAATCCCAGGTGCGGTCTGCTGGTGGGTACTGGACAATGACAGGTGGTTGTGGTTGTGGAGGTTGTGGTTGTGGAGGCTGGTGTGGTGGGTGGGTGGGGGATGGTGGCCTTTGTTGTAGATCAGCTGAGGCAGCGGCGTGGGTGGCAGCGTGGGTGGCAGCATGGCCCACTGCTGGTGCCTCACCGCCGGCACCACTACCACCACGCACATTTTCCATCCCAATTGCAACAGTATCATCATCATTTTCACTCTCTGTTCCTGTTGTACAGCCATGGGATGTACTCCGAGATGCACTCCTTCCCCTTGGAATAGCATATGGCACACTACCAGAGCGCATATATCGTCGTATATACTGACGCTTCACTGGGGAATATTGCACTTCACTATCACTACTGGAACTAGTTTGAAGAGCTTGTAGTTCATATTCACTATCACTATCATCACCCATGCTCTCATCTGAGTCTGGGATTTGGGAAAATAGAAGTTTCCTCTTGGATTCTGGTACAACTGAACGTGAACAAGACGGCCCAGCACCAGAGGTGGAAGGCTGAGGGTCGTCTGGGTTTTCCTCACTATTACCGATATTATGGTCATTAGTTTCGGTCAAAACCTCACCAAAACCTTGAAACTCATCTTCACTGGCACTTCCATCTGTATTAGAACTGTCACTGGGGAACAAAAGTGTCCCAATTTGCCGAGGAGTGAGGAGCTTCTTACCGCGAGGCATGGTGGACATTGTTTACTAAGATGGCGTTGCCACAATGCACCACTGGGTCCCAGATTTTTTTTCTACCATGCACACCGACCACACAGATCCATTCTCTCACATGTAGGCCTACCAGCCTTTTCCCGCGAGATTTGATGGCGCTAGAATTTGTGCGTACTAGTACGTCAAAAACCCCTGCGCGTAAGACGTACTAGTACGTCCGAAACCCTCAAAGGGTTAATTTCCATACTAATTCTCACCCTTTTTACCCCAGGGTTGGCACTAGAAGCTTTCTTGGGGCCCAAGGTGACTTATTTTGCAGAAACAAGCACCAAAAACACTGTGATAATATGGAATGTACCGAATATATGCTTAGATGCGAGCACACTGGCTGACTTATAAACACTGGCACGCACGGGGCAGTTCAGGCCTCACGTGGACGCATCCCGGACGAATCGCGTGTGGCAGGTTTTTTAACGAGTAGTGAGGCAAAATTTTTGCGTTAAAATGTATCGAATACCGGATTTAACATATACCGATGCCATCGAATGCCGGGGGTCCACTGTATAAGTGTGTTGTGTAATCAGCAAAATAGTGATTTTAATGAGTACAATGTTTAGTGGGTACAGTAGGGGCCCGCTTTACGGCATTTTGCTTTACAGCATTCCGCTAATGTGGACATTTCAAATTATGACCAAAACTCGCTATGTGGCTCCTCCCCCCACCTGACTTTCTAATATGGTCACTGCTCCCCAAAATGTTGCTTTGGTTATTCATTTCAGAAAATGTTTAACTGCCAACACCTTGTATATGGTCATCTAGAAACTAGCCATACTTACCTTTTATCCAGTATGGTCATATAGTATAGAACATTTTTGTTATTTTTTTCAGTTGCATATTACAATTTAAACATCTTACTACAATTACTATTTACCTTGTCCAAAATTAAAATTGAGGCTGCATCCTGGAGGGGGTTTAGGAAGAGACATAGGTGTTTCTAGTTGATCAGGTGGAAGACCAAGAAACCCATGGTAGTCAACAAAGAGGAACTCTACTGAAGGATCTTGAATCACACTTGAGTCTGCATATAACACCAGGCTACAAACTTCAACATAAATCCTTAACTGCTTTTCCTGTATAAAAAAAAATGTACACATAAAATTTACCTCAGCCCTAGATGCTGAGGTAAATTTTCCTCGGCATCCAGGGCTGTTTCCAGCCTTTATAAAAGTTATAGAGGCAGTGGAAAATTGGGTTTAAAACTCTTAAGGAAGGAGGTAAATAAGGCTTTGGCAAAGAAAATATGCAAGTCTAAATTTACTTTAACCCCTTCAGGGTCCAAGGCCAAAATCTGAAGAAATTTTGAAAAAAAAAAAAAAAATTCTTACAGAATTAAAGAGTATATTTTTGTGAAGGTAATAAGACAAAAAATGTGTTTTTCTGATCAGTACTTACCGAGATGCAGCCGCGGGAAGTTGGCCCAAAATGACCAGGTGGCGGCAACATCAGTGACTTCCGCAAAATCCTATTTTTTTATGTTACGTTTTTTATACTTTTTTCTTTTCTATTCTAGTTTTTTCTTTTTCTAATAACATTTGTGGCCTGTGAGACCAGTATAATGTATATTGTATAAGTGTACACTCATTGTATTCAACACAATAACTGCACTAATTTGTTTATCATTATATTGCATACAAAACTTGTTTACAAGTTTATTGTAAACAAAATGATGAAAATATTAGTGCGGTTGTTGTGTTGCATACAATGGTACCATATAGTACCATATGGTACAATGGTGCCATAGGGTGCAATTGTACCATATGGTACAATGGCACCATATGATACAATGGTACCATATGGTACAATATGGTACAATGGCACATAATACAATGGTACCATATGATACAATGGTACCATATGGTACAATGGCACCATTTGGTACAATGGTACTATATACAATGGTATCATATGGTGCAATGGTACCTTATGGTACCATATGGTGTAATGGTACCATATGGTACCATATGATGCAATGGTACCATATGGTACTGTTGTATTCAACACAATAAACACACTAATATTTTCATTATTATTTTGTTTACAATAGTTGTTTACAACAAAAATATGTAAAAATGTTGTATATTAGTAATGTTCTATTATATATTTACAAGTGTACAGGAACTTGACGTGTTCCTTGAGGTGGATGACAAAGCACTTTGTTCGCGTCGCCACTCAGTCTTGGCTGGTGTCTCATACCACCAACACCTATTGACCATATGGTACACGGTATCATATGTTACAGGGTACCATATGGTACATTGTGCTATATGGTATAGGGTACCATGCAGTACAGGATAACATATGGTACAGAGTACCATATGGTACAGGGTACCATATGGCACAGGGTACCATATGGCACAGGGTACCATATGGTACAGGGTACCATACAGTACAGGACACTATATGGTACAGATACAGGGATAACTATGGAAATAAGTCACCCTGGCTTTTTTGGGTTATCCTAGGATTTTACATGTATGCTGCTATGTATGATAATCTATGTAATTATATTTCTGTACACCTGAATAAATTTACTCAAGTGCATGTGGCATCATAAGTAAGTTTATTTAGTTATACACAAATAAAGTTACATAGAATATCATACTTAGCAGCATATGCTTGGAGAACCTAGGATAACCCAAGAAAGTCAGACAGACTTATTTCCATTAGGGTCCCTGTACCCTGTACCATATGGTATAATGTACCACATGGTACAATGTACTATATGGTACCACTCTACCATATGATACCATTGTACCATATGATACCATTGTATGACATGGCACCATTGTACCATATGGTACCATTGTACCATATGGCACAATGGTACCATATAGTTCAAAACCATAGAATTCGTCTTCATCTCCACTTCCATCAGTCTTAGAACTGTAAGTTGAGAAGAGGAGAGTCAGAATTCGCCCGGAGAGTGAGTGGGGAGTGAGAGCTTCGTTGCTGCCAGGCACAATGAACAAAGCTACTTTGCCGGCGTTCCCACAATGCCATACAGGCATCCAGATTTTTTTCTATGGTGTGCACACTGACCACCCAGACCCATTCTCTCAGATGTAGGCCTACCAGCCTTCTCACACTAAATTTGACGCCGCTAGAATTTTGGCGTAGATCTACGGTTTGGATCCTGAACATAAAACCATAGATCTACTGGACGGACCCTGAAAGGGCTAAAACAGTAAAGCATAAAAGTCCCTTATTAATAGCTAAGCAGCTAGCCATACAAGTAACAATATATAATATGGCAGGTTGATATGCTGCAGCTCATGGATTTGGTGGAAAATCCAATGGATGTTAAGTTAACAGCAACTGTTGGTGAGCTGTCAGGTGGCAAGTAATGGTGTTTTTCTCATCTAACTATTTGTGGTTACAGGGGTCAAATCTTAGCTCCTGGCCCCGCCTCTTCACCGGTTGCTACTGGGCCCTCTCACTCCCTGCTCCATGAGCTTTATCAAACCTCGTCTTAAAACTATGTATGGTTCCTGCCTCCACTACATCACTTTCTAGGCTATTCCACTGCCTGACAACTCTATGACTGAAGAAATACTTCCTAATATCTCTCTGACTCATCTGTGTCTTCAACTTCCAATTGTGACCTCTTGTTTCTGTGTCCCCTCCCTGGAACATCCTGTCTTTGTCCACCTTGTCTATTTTGCACAGTATTTTATATGTCGTTATCATGTCTCTCCTGACCCTCCTGTCCTCTAGTGTCGTCAGGCCGATTTCCCTTAACCTTTCTTCATAACACATTCCCCTTAGCTCTGGAACTAACCTTGTCGCTAACCTTTGCACTTTCTCTAGTTTCTTGACGTGCTTTTTCAAGTGCGGGTTCCAAACAGGTGCTGCATACTCCAGTATGGGCCTGACATACACGGTGTACAGTGTCTTGAATGATTCCTTATTAACCCTTTCAGGGTCAACAGGCCCTCTCAGAGACTTGTTCTCAGGGTCGGCCAAATTTCAAAAAAAAAAAAAAAAATATTTTTTCTTATGAAAAGATAGAGAATCTTTTCCCGATCATAATGACACCAAAAGTATGAAATTTGATGGAAAACTTACGGAATTATGCTCTCACGAAGTTAGCGGTCTCGACAATGTTTACGCATCAGCGATTTTCCCCAATTTGAGCCCTATTTTCGGCCAATTGAGTGTACTTGTCGACAAAAATCATAGTTATTTCGCTAGAACTCCATTTTGTCTATCGAATGAGTACAAGAAACCACTCATTTACCGATTTCAACTATCCAAGACAGTGGTCAGAATTTAGCAATTTTGCCAATTTCACACAAATTTCAAATGATGCCAATTTCCGAATAGGGTCCAGAATAAGCAAGAAAGACATTCCTGGCACTAAAATAACATTTCCTCTGTTCATCAGTCACGTCCCCATGCCCCTCTTACATTCTTTTGCGTTCCATTTTGAATTTTTATTCTCACAAAAAATAGAAGATTTACTGTTATGTAGACTACTGCATTGGTGTAAAAAATGGTATAAATAATATCAGCGCACCTGTGAAAGAATATTAGACTCACCAGTTGATGTGTATTGGACGCATAGCATGATTTGTTTACTTTTAAACTTTAGTAAAAATCGAGCATTTCTGCTACTTTGAGCTAAATCTCAAGGTACTTTTCTTTGTAAAACCAGTCAAATCATCTCAATTTCTGTAATATGTCTTCCATTCTATAAAATGAGATCAGGAAAACTAGAATACAACAATAAATGCCATACGATAATGCAGTGCAAAGTCGCTGTTTTAATCCAAAAACATGGTCAACGTTTTTTTCTTCTCATTACGCACTGTGCTGCAGGATTTTTTTTATACCGTGCACACTGACCACATGGACCCATTCTTTCATATGTAGGCCTACCAGCTTTCTCTCACTAGATTTGAGGGCACTAGAATTTAGGCATACTAGTACGTCAAAAACCCTAGCTCGTAAGCCGTACTAGTATGGCCGAAACCCTGAAAGGATTAAGGTATCGGAACGCTGTTCTCAGGTTTGCCAGGCACCCATATGCTGCAGCAGTTACTTGGTTGATGTGTGCTTCCGGAGACATGCTCAGTGTTATACTCACTCAAAGATCTTTCTCCTTGAGCGAGGTTTGCAGTCTTTGGCCACCTAGCTTATACTCTGTCTGCGGTCTTCTGTGCCCTTCCCCTATCTTCATGACTTTGCATTTGGCGGGATTAAATTCGAGAAGCCAGTTGCTGGACCAGGTGTCCAGTCTGTCCAGGTCTCTTTGAAGTCCTGCCCAGTCCTCATCTGATTTAATTCTCCTCATTAACTTCACATCGTCTGCGAACAGGGACACTTCTGAGTCTAACCCTTCCATCATGTCGTTCACATATACCAAAAATAGCACTGGTCCTAGGACCGAACCCCTGTGGGACCTCGCTTGTCACAGGTGCCCACAGTGATACATCATTACATACCATGACTCATTGTTGCCTCCCTGTCAGGTATTCTCTGATCCATTGCAGTGCCCTTCCTGTTATATGAGCCTGATCCTCTAGCTTCTGCACTAATCTCTTGTGAGGAACTGTGTCAAAGGCCTTCTTGCAGTCCAAGAAGATGCAATCAACCCACCCCTCTCTCTCGTGTCTTATTTCTGTTACTTTATCATAAAACTCCAGAAGGTTTGTGACACATGATTTTCCTTCCATGAATCCATGCTGGTTGGTGTTTATACTCTTGTTCCGTTCCAGGTGCTCCACCACTCTCCTCCTGATAATCTTTTCCATAACTTTGCATACAATACACGTAAGTGACACAGGTCTATAGTTTAGTGCCTCTTTTCTGTCTCCTTTTTTAAAAATGGGAACTACATTTGCCGTCTTCCATACCTCAGGTAGTTGCCCAGTTTCCAGGGACATGTTGAAGATTGTGGTAAGTGGCACACACAACATATCTGCTCCATCTCTAAGGACCCATGGGGAGATATTGTCTGGTCCCATTGCCTCCTCCTCATCTGTATGTATGCCATCCAACACCCAACACTTGTTGGTATATTCCTTGCTGGTGTCCCCATCTGGTCTGTCCCCAGAGAGGCCTTCCTGTC